ACTCGTTTAGATATAGTGTCCTTATCATAGTTAGGGACACCCTTGTCCTTAGAAGACAGAAGTTCAAAGGGAAATCAGCATGATGTTAAGGGAAAAAAGGCATTGGGCAAGTCATTTAAATGATTCATTGTCTAAGTCTTGATCGCTGATACCCACATACTCAGGAAGAGTCAATAATAGAAAGTTTACATAAAGCAACATGAATCTGGAGGACTGAAATAGCTCACAATATAAACATCGTCTGTATATGAAGCAATATTTTTTTTTCAGTGTACATAAATCAAATTGGAATTTGGTGGAAGTTTTATCAGTCTTTGAAGTTTCTCAGGATGAAATCTGTTTTCCAGCTAGTTCAGTTCTTATCTTGGCCATATCATTCAATCTCTCTGAACTTCAATTTTCTCTTTTTTAGATGAGGAAACTGTATTATATAAATTCTCAAGTTGCTTCAATATCTAGATCTTCAAAATCACCAAAATTATCTTGAATATATCTAATTGAATGGTATTAGGGTAATATTGGGTAGTTGTTAGGTGCTCTCAAGTCAGCTCTGACTCATAACAACCCTATGCACAACAGAACGAGACACTGCCTAATTGTGCTCCATTCTCACAGTCCTTCCTAAATCCTTCCTATACTTGAGCCCATCATTGCAGCCACTGTGTCAATCCATCTCATTGAGGGTCTTGTCCTTCTTTGTTAATGCTCCACTTTACCAAGCATGACATCCTTCTCCAGGGAATGGTCCCTTCTGACAACATGACTAAAGTAAGTGAGACAAAGTCTGGTCATTCTCGCTTCCAAGGAGTATTCTGGATCTACTTATTCCAGGATAGATTTGTTTTTTCTTCTGTCAGTCCATGGTATCTTCAGTATTCTTCATCAACAACAGAATTCAAAATCATTAACTCTTCTTCAATCTTCCTTGTTCTTTGTCCAGATTTCACAGACATATAAGGAAATTGAAAGTACTATGGCTTGGGTTAGGTGCACCTTAGTCTACAAAGTGACATCCTTACTCTTCAGCACTTTGAAGAGGTCTTTTGTAGCACATTTGCCCAGGGCAACATGATGTCTGATTTCTTGACTGCTGCTTCCTCCACAACTTTGCTTGCTGAAAGTGAGGATGATTTGAGGCACTTTCTGATGAGGATTGAAGACTACAGTCTGCAGCATGGATTGCACCTCCACATAAAGAAAATGAAAATCTTCACAATTGGACAAATATTGGGCTAGAAAACAAGTATCTAAATCTTATTCTTAGCATCTAAGCCTACTGCCTTAGTTATCTTGTGCTGCTGTAACAGAAATACTGCAAGTGGATGGCTTTAACAATCAGAAAATTTATTCTCTTACAGTTTAGAAGGTAGAAGTCTGAATTCGAGGCACCAGCTCTGGGGAAGGCTTTCTCTCTCTGTCTGCTCTAGATGAAAATCCTTGTCTCCTTTCAACATCTGTGGGCTTAGCATCCCTTGGAGATCTCCATGTGTCTTGGCATCAATCTTCCCCTGTGTCTAGGAGGTTTTTAGTTTAGGGACTCCAAGTCCAAAGGATGCATTCTGCTCCCAGTTTTTTTTTTTTTTCTTGATGGAACTGAGAGCCCTCTCTGCTTGCTTATCTGCTTTTATCCGTTGGAAGATAAAAGATGATGTCAGCTACAACCAAGGGAAATTCCCCATACGTGGAGTCAGGACAGCAACCTGAGTAAGGGTGTGGTATCCCCCCCAATCCCCTTACAACTGTCTGACCACATCAGATCACATTATTGGGGGTCACATCATTACATGACTGCCAAATTACATTATTATATAACTGCCAAACCACTGAGAATCATGCCTCAGTCAAATTGACACATGTTTTTGGAGGATATAATTGAATCCATGACATCTACCAAATAATAATAGTAATAAATGCTGGTGAGTGAACAAATTGACTTCCACTCATAGGGACTCCATGTTTATCAGAGCAGAACTGCTCCATAGAGTTTTCTTTATTTTATTTTTTATTACAGATTTGTGTGTGTGTGTGTGTGTGTGTGTGTGTGATTTGGGTGAAAGTTTGTAGAGTATATTCATTCCCCATTCAACAATTCATACACATTTCGTTTTGTGTTATTCATTGCAATCCCCATGGTGTAACAGCATTCTTCTCACTTCTTCCTTGTGTTTACCATTTCCATTTATCTTTCTTTGCTATCTTTCTTAACTTTATCCCTGGGCAAATGCTGCCCTTCTGATCTTGTATGGTTGACTGTTCTAATGAGTGTGTCCCTTCATGGTCTTGCTGTCCACCTTACAGGCCTATCTATTATTTGGCTGAACATTGAGCCACAGGGAAGAATTCAGTTTCCATCTTGAAGGATGTCTAAGAGCCATAGTCTTGGGGTTCCACCGGTCTCTATCGGGAAAGTAAGCCTAGTCTTTTCTATGATTTTGGGTTTTATTCCACATTTTTATCCTACTCCATTCAGGACCTTCTATTGTGATCTATTTCAGAGAAATCAGCAGTGGTTACTGAGCACCTTCTAGTTCTGGTCTCAGGGTTATGAAGGATGGGGTTCATGCAGCTTGTTAATCATTTGGACTAATTGTTTCCATGTGTCTTTGATTATCTTTACTCTTCTTTGCTCCGGACAGGGAGAGACCAAGAGCTGCACCTTAGATGGCTGCTCACAAACTTTAAGCCTCCACTATACTCACCAGAGTAGGATACAGAACATTATCTTTGTGAACTGTTTTGTTGTTATGTGCTATCAAGTTGGACTCAACCCATAGCAACTCCTCCTTGGGTTTCTGAGGCAGTATCACTACGGAAGTAGATTGCCCAACCTTCCTTCCGAGGAGTGGCTGGTGGGTTTGAACTGCTAGACTTCTGGTTAGCAGTCAAGTGCCTTAGGCACTACGCTACTATGCTGTGCCAATTGAGCTTGAGGTCGCCTGAGTCTGTGGTCCTGAGCCCTCAGCCCTAGTTACTCATTCCCTCAAGGTATTTGGTTATGGCTAAGAAGTTTTCATAATTTTGCCTTTCTGTTTGCTTACTATGATCTACTATATTCATGGATATATTTTCAGCACATATAAATGCTGTTGTTGTTGCTGTTATGTGCCGTCGAGTCAGACCTGACTCAGCGACCCCTCCTTGGGTTTCCGAGGCAGTATCACTTTGGAAGTAGATTGCCCCATCTTCCTTCTGTGGAGTGGCTGGTGGGTTTGAAGCACATATAAATACATATGTAGAAATATCCCTTTTCAGACATATATTCATGTGTGGTCCCGTTCACTTCCCACCCCTGTTCAGCTTAAGTGTCTGTCTATGTACCCACTTATAGATTGTTGTTACTGTTATTGCAGGACTATGTATTTAATAGTATTTACCTTTGTTGTCTTTAATTCTTGTGCTCCTCTCAGTGTCTATGTTGTTCTTGTTATGTGCTGTCGAGTCGGACCTGACTCATAGCGACCCTTCCTTGGGTTTCCGAGGCAGTATCACTATAGGACTAGATTGCCCCATCTTCCTTCTGAAGAGTGGCTGGTGGGTTTGAACTGCCAGCCCTCTGGTTAGCAGTCAAGTGCCTTAGGCACTATGCTACCAGAGCTCCCCTCAGTGTCTATAGTGTTTTCAATTGTGATTTTTCAAAGTAGATTGACAGGCCTTTCTACCAAGGTGCTCTGGATAGACTCTTTTGGTTAGCAGCTAAGTGCATTAACTGTTTGTACCATCCAGGGACTCTTATGTAAAATGTAGAACCAGGAAATGTGTTTGGAGAGTTACTGAGGAGCTATTAGTACTTGAGTAAATGACAGAACTGGATATTTCTCATCATAAAGAGCTATAAATACTTCTAACATATACTACTGCCTTTATACAAATCATCAGAAGGTGCTTTTTATGGGGCATACGAATTACCCAATTTTACCCTCTCTGAGAAGGCCAATTCTGGAAAGACAATCCTTGTTTGAGCTGAAGCAGTCCTTTTCCAGGAGAAAGGGCTTGACAATGCAAACACAGGCTGGATTTCAGCCGTCCCTGCCCCCTTAGCTGGGTTCCTTGGTATATTAGTTAAGGTTGTGTGTTAACTTGGTTGAGCCATGGTTTTGAGTGGCTGGGAAGCTGAATGTAGTTGTTCCCCATGATGAGATTGTAATCACCCCCACAGTGGAATTTTTGTGAGGAGCTAAGTAGTTGCCTTCTGCTTCCAGTATATAAGGAAAAGCTTTTTATATAAGCCTCTGTAGCCAGCAGCGGCATGAATTACAGGAAGCCTCTAGTTCCAGCGAGCCTGGTATAAAAGGCAAAGCTGAAGCCCAAAGTCAAGGGGCCTTCACTCAGAGCTGACACTCTGAATTTGGACTTTAACCTCCTAAACTGTAAGAGAATAAATTCCTGTTTGTTAATCCATCCATTTGTGGTATTTCTGTTACAGTAGCACTAGAGAACCAAGACACTTGGTGCAGGATACAGACTGTTCATTCTTGGCCAAGGCCTCCTCCTCTAAAGATCCCACCCTGGGCCTGTGTGTCCCATCCTGATTTACAGGTCACAAATAATTTGCTTTTAAGCAACTCACAAATGGATTAGAGACACTTTTACGAAGCACCTTTAGAGGAAAGAGGGAAGTTTTTTAATTTTGTTTTGTTTTCAAATTATGAAGTTATATATGAAAAATGTGATACTCAGAAAATACAAAAAAGAATAATGAAGGAAAAGAGACTTTTTAATAACACTTTTAATGTATTATTATGTTGTTGTTAGCTGCTGTCAAGTCAGTACAACCCCATGTGCAATAGAATGAAACACTGTATTTTTTTTTTGTATTTCATTCCAATACTATGCCATCACCATCATGGCTATGTCTGAGCCCATTGTTGCAGCCACTGTGTGAATTACTTAGAGTTAATAGCTGGTAAATACCTTGCTTATTTCAACCAGATATATGTATATGTATAATTTCATTTCTGGTCTTATCTCCATAAGCATCATTATGAATGGCATCCAGGTTTTTAGGAGAAGTATCCCGGTTAAGTTTCCATATTTGAATTAGGATTGAGTAGTTGTTTGGTGTGTTCCTTGGTCTTGATAACCTTGAAGAATAAAGATATAAAGATAGGTCCATGAGATGTGGCTGATATACATTTTTGTCTTCACTTATACTGTTACCTACTCTCCTCAAAGGCCACATCCTTCCTTTCTTCCCTTTTAAAAGTCTTTTCTGTTACTCTCACTTATTTTCTTTAATATATTCCTGTCCTTTGAGCCACCAACCCCTCCTTTGACTGGGAAGCTAAAATCAAATAATCAGTCATACCCATGAACACATGTGGACTGGGTGAGAGGTGTCAGGGAGCAACAAGAGAGAGGAAGGAGTTATGTACTCATTACCAGGAAGTGAGGGGAAGATTTTGATTGGGGAAGAAAGATGGGAGGAAGCATCAAAAAGTATTGTTGATACAAATGCTGTGAGGATAATTGTTGGGATGTAGGGACTGAAGGATATAAGAAACAGAGAGATCTAAGAACTTGTGCATTTCTGTGTACCTGGGTATGTATATCAGCATTTGTATTTGATCTCTGTGTGCATTCTAATATTAGCTTGGGTTAGTGTTACCCAGAATCCCAGTTGGGTGCTTACAAGTGTGACAAGAAGCATGGACTTTGTTATGTAGATACAGCCATATCTGTTTGTGTTCTGAGATGCTTAGGGGAATCCTTGGTCATTTAGGCCTGGTATGGACTCTACTCTGTCCTATAGGGTCGCTATGAGTCAGGATCAACTTGACAACAATGAGTTTGGTTTTGGTTTCTTATGGACTCTGTCAACCAACTTCTCATTAATCTTCCTCTCCTAGCCTTGATGTATCATAAAGGATTAATCTAGCTAATGCATGAAAAACCCTTAAAAGAATATCTGGCTCATTCTGAATACTGAGCAAGAATTTGGCATTATTATTACCAATGTATTTAGGTAATCCCAGCCACAGTGATTATTTGAACAATTATGTCTATGGTGCTTTAATTTCACCAAACTTCCATCTGTAAATTCTATTCTGAGTTCCAGATCTATATATCAGATAGATAGCTCTTGGTTATCCTATAGGCACCTCAAACTTAACCTGTATAAAGCAGAACACATTTTTTGTTCCTTGGAACCTGTTCTTCCTCCCGTGTTCTTTACTTTAGTGAATGGGAACATAATCATTCAGATGCCTGCAATGGCCATCTGGAATTTATCTTTGAATTCTTCCTCTCCCTTATCACCATCGCCTAATTAGTCACAAGATAATGTAGAATCTGTCTTTATAATACTTTTGACTTCATTCACTCAAGCCCATCTGTATTTTTCACTTCTTATTTGAATTTCTTCAATAACCTTCCAAGTGATCATCCCATCTCCAGGGGCCTACTTCTAACTTACTACCCAAACGTGTTCTTCTGTGAATGATCCTTTAATTCCAACCCATATATATATTTCTTTTCTCTCTCTCTCTCTTACTTCTTTCTATCATTTGTCTCCTTCGTTCTTTCTTTGATTTCTTCCTTCTTATCTCTCTCTTTTTTTCACCTATTTACTATAAAATTTTTGTTCCTCAACTTATAACAAAACTGCAATCATTATTTGGCCTACCCTCACCCCACAACTATCAAAGTTACAATTTTCTAAAACTCCTACGATATTTCACAGTTTGGGGTCACTATATGAGTGCTTTTTTGTCTAGAAGATTCCACTCCATTTTTGGTACAGCTGACAATACTAGCTACAATGTATTGAATGCTTATGATTTGAAAGTCATTGTGATAAGTATGTTTATGCATTATCTTTATCTCATCAAATCTTCAGAAAAATTTCTGAGACAGAAAATATTTCCCTTATTTTCCAGATAAAGAACCTGACGTGCATGGCATTTAATCTGCTCAGGTAACTAGAAAAATCACATAGCCATAATAGGAAACATATCTACCTTAAACAAGCCCGACTTCTTATCAATTATTTTCCTGCTTTGGTGGATTTCACCAGTTATTCAATATTTATACTAGGTATTACATCATTTTAAAACCTCCCTGCATTTTCTTTCATAAATAAAAATCGTTCTTTCAAGAAAAATAGGAAAGAAAGAGGAACAGAAGAAAAGTAGAAAAGAAGAAGGAGTTTGCATATACTAAATGTTGTTGTTGTTATTTGCCGTCGAGTCGGCCCCGACTCATAACGACCCCTCCTTGGGGCAGTATCACTACGGAAGTAGGATTGCCCAACCTTCCTTCCGAGGAGTGGCTGGTGGGTTTGAACCGCCAGCCTTCTGGTGAGCAGTCAAGTGCCTTAGCCACTATGCTACCAGAGCTCCTAGCCAGCCTTATTTCTTTTGCTATCTGCTGAAATCTCTGTGTAATAGAAGCTGTGTAGTTTTCCTAAAGTCTGAACAAAGTAATCTGCCATGCTGAAGGAATGATACTCTCAAGGCAGTTCCCACCTTGATGATACTGTGTGTTACAGATCTCAGCTGCCAATGGTCCATACTTAATGACAATTCAAAGCAGATGAGTTGAAGCTTATCACCTTCCTGGTAGTTGATTGGGTCAATCGTCCATACACCATTACTTCCATCTTCCCTGTATTATCTTTTATTTCATAGTAGGTGCATTTGTCTCTCACCATTTTCTGAAAAAGAAAAAAAAAAAAATTCTAAGAACTGGATCTGGAATTTCTACATCTACAAGAAATACAGAAGTGTTAGCAGAAATTTGTTTCTGACAGTGTACATACCAGACCTAGGCCAGGAATTACAGATATGGAGTAGCTTAAGATGACTTGCTCAGAAAATACCCTACTTTGAATTTTCTGTCTAGTCTCTTTAGTTCCTGGTCTTTATTTGCTTGACTGCTTTAGAAAAATTAATTATTTTCCTTATTTTTGTGGCTTACACCACAGGAAAGTGGAAATTTCATAAGGAAGCTGGATACAGAGGAATCTGATAAACTTAATAGATTTCTTTGCCAGGGCAGGATAAAAAAAATATATTATTCAAGGTTCATCTTGCCCCAGCACTAATAGCAAAGTTCAACAAGACAGAAAATAACAAATACGGGCGAGGATGTGGAGAGATTGGGACGCTCATACACTGCTGGTGGGACTATAAAATGGTACAACCATTGTGGAAAGCAGTATGGTGATTCCTTAAAAAATTGGAATTAGAAATACCATTTGATCCAGCAATTCCATAACTAGGTATATATCTGAAAGAAGTGACAGCCAGGACAAAAATAGATATATGCATACCCATGTTCATCACAGCAGTATTTACAATAGCAAAAAGATGGAAACAATCTATGCACCCATCAACAGAAGAATGGATAACCAAACTATGGTACATGCACACAAAGGAATACTATGCAATCCTAAAGAATAATGTAGAATCTGCAAAACACTGCATAAAATAGATGAACTTGGAGGACATTATGCTGAATGCAATAAGTCAATCACAGGACAAATATTGTATTAATTCATTATTATCAAAAGTCAAGGAAAGGTTTATATAAACTTTCTTTGTTTGTTATTTGAGGGGGCCGCAAACACTGCAACAAATAAAATAAATGGTCCATTATGAGTCTTAGAAAGACTATTTCAAGTCCTCATTAAGTAGATTGTTATCCAATATGTAAGTCTTTCTATCTTCTCCATCTATTCATTTTTCTCCAAGTTGCCCTGTCTCTTGCATTTAAATGGTTTAGTCCAAATTTTCTAGTTTCTATCTCTCTTACATTTTTACTCATTTATTCTGCAAATGCATATAAAAATACTGCCATTTTTATGGGTTGGCTATGTTCCCCCAAAATATATGATGTTGTCCTAACTCCTGTACCTCTGAATGTGATTTTGTTTAAAAATAGGATCTTTAAAGTTATTTTCTGTTAAGTTAACATGAGGTCATAGTAGGATGAGTCCTAATTGTATATTACTGGTAATTTTATAAAAGAGAGGGGGGACACAGAGACAAAAAGAGGATGAATAACCATGTGAAAAGTGCAGATGCATATACAAGTCGAGGAGCATCCAGGACGACCAACACTTGGGGAGACAATGAAGGATCTTCCACTGGAGACTTTGGAGGGTGCATAGTCCTACCAACATGTTGATTTATACTTAGACCCTCCAGAACTGTCATACAATAAATTTCTATTCCTATAAGCCACCTAGTTTTTGTTATTTTGTTATAGCAGGCCTAGGAAATTAATATAGTCATTTAAACAAAATGCACAGAAAACAGCACAGGGAAAGAGTCAGTCTGGATGACATATATAATGGAGTGTGAAAAAATACCTCAAACAAGAAGTTAAGTCAGATAAGCTTAGTGTTTACATAGTTTGTTAGGACTGAAAGAAGTATTCAAATTCTGAGAACTCAAGAACTTTTCTGTTTATAATCAGTGACCCATATTTATTAATTGAAGGGTTAAACTACACAACTTCATCTATATTTCTCTTTTTACACAATATTTTGATGAATGAATATACAGGACAAAGGTCCCCACAGTTTAATATCCAGATTATTACAATTCCAGCTATAATCATCTTGGTTATAGTTGTATTCTAGGGGATAGCACTCTATTGATTTCTTACTCTGGTTGCCATACTAGAATCCAAGCTCAGGTGGGTGACTGTTTACTCACAATTAAGTTAAGGTGGTCACTGATACAGATGGGGCAGAACTGAAAGAAATGAAATCCTGAGTATACATGTTGATTTAAACTCTGTACTGTTCTTTACAATCATAGATGAGAATGAGCATCTAGCTGAAAAAAATGGTAACTTTTTCTGGTGAATCTCTTACTAAAGAACTGACATGATATTTTGGGAAGAGGAATGTTAATAGGTTAAACTCAAACCAAAACAAACTCCCTGCCATTGTCTATTCTAAGTCAAAGAGACACCAATGGGTTTTCGAGGCAGTAAATCTTTATGGAAGTAAATTGCTCATTTTCCTTCCACAGAGGGGCTGATGGGTTTGAACCATTAACCTTCTGGTTATCAGTCAAATGCCTTAGGCCTGCAACACCAGAGTTCCTGTTAACAGGTTACTGATTACATCTTCTGAAAAGGGAAAACTTCACCCAACTATCCCTGCTTAAGGGTACCTTGAGTTTCTGTGTTCAGTAAGTTAACACAATTCCTGTTGGCAAGTGAAGACATCTGAATAATGGTGTTGCAGAAGAAAATGGTACAAAACAATGGTGTAGAGTTACCTAATGGACCATAAACATCCCATTCATAAATGTTCCAGGAACTTGCAAGAAAAGATGGGTGATATTAGGAGTTGCATTTGCATGTTTAATAAGTGTACTTGAGATCGCCATCTTTTGGTCAGCACTAATATCAGACACTTTTGAGACATTGTACACCTCCAGGAAGCCATTTCGGCCGGCATAATCTGATATGGCAATGACTCTCTTTGGTGTGAACTTCTTCAGGCTTATATCAAAAACTTTTACTTGGAAGAATTCACTCTCAGTAGCTACTGTGGCATGAAACATCTTTCTGTTCTCTTCTCTGTGCTCATATGAAAATGGTTGTGTTGTTTTTAACACCATCACTTTTGGGGGGCCTATCTGGATACCCTCTTCTCTGGAAGCATCTTCAGGTTCAGTCATCAGTCTTGGTTTCTATAATGGAAAAATGAAATAACAAGTATAATTAAAACAGGGAACACAGAGCCATTCTTTAGTGAGAACCATCTCAGACTCACTGTCGAGCCTCAAGAAGTATAATAATTGGGAGTTGGGTAACCTAAAGAAATACAGCTGACATGAATGGGAGAAGGTTATTGCTGTTAGGTGCTGTGGAGACAGGTCCAACTTATAGTGACCCTGTGTACAACAGAATGAAACACTGCCCGGTCTTGCACCAGCCACACAATCCTTGCTATACCTGAGCCCATTGTTATAGCCACTGTGTCAACCCACCTTTTTGAGGGACTTCTCCTCTTTTATTGACCACCCAATTTACCAAGCATGATATCTTTCTCCAGGGAATGGTCCCATTTGACAACATGACCAAAGTAGGTGAGATGAAATCTGGACATTCTTGCTTCCAAGGAGCATTCTGGCTGCACTTCTTTCAGGACAGATTTGTTTGTTCTGGCAGTCGATGGTACTTTTAGTATTCTTTACCAGCACCACAACTCAAAAGCATCAAGTCTACTTTGGTCTTCCTTATTCATTGTCAAGCTTTTACATGCATATGAGGTGATTGAAAACACCACGGCTTGGGTTAGGCACACCTTAGTCTTCAAAGAGACATCTTTGCTCCTCAGCACTTTAACGAGGTCTTTTGCAGCAGATTTGCCCAGTGCAGTATGTCGTCTGATTTCTTGACTGCTGCTTCCTTTGGTGTTGATTATGGAATCAAGTAATAAGAAATCTTTGACAACTTCAATCTTTTCTCCATTTATTGTGCTGCTGCTTATTGGTCCACTTGTGAGGATTTTTGTTTTCTTTATGTTGAGGTGTAATCCATACTGAAAACTGTAGTCTTTAATCTTCATCAGTAAGTGCTTCAAGTCCTCTTCACTTTCAGCAAGCAAAGTTGTGTTGTTAGCCTATCACAGGTTGCTAATGATTCTTCCTCCAAACTTGATGCCACATTCTTCTTCATATAGTTCAGCTTCTCAGTTTATTTGTTCAGCATACAGATTTAATAAGTATGGTGAAAGGATAAAATCCTGACACACTCCCTTCCTGCTTTTAAACCATGCAGTATCCCCTTGTTCAGCTTGAACCATAGCCTCCTACTCTATGCACAGTTTCCTTATGAGCACAATCATGTGTTCTGGAATTTGCATTGTTCTCAATGTTGATCTGCACAATTGAATTCTTTTGCTTAGTGAGTATAACACAAATAAACATCTTTCTGGTATTCTTTGCTTTCAGCCAAGATGCATCTGACACCAACAATGATATCCCTCATTCCACGTCCTCTTCTGAACCCAGCTTTCATTTCTGGCAGTTTTCTGTCAATATACTGCTGCAACCACTTTTGAATTATCTTCAGAAAGATTTCACTTATGTGTGATATTAATGATATAGTGGTAGTTCAGTTTTTGTGTCAACTTGACTAGGCTTGGTTGAGTGGCTGGATAGCTGGATGCAGTATTCCCCATGATGAGACTGATAATCAGCTCCATGGTGGAATCTACTGGGAGCAGCTGAGTAGCTGCCTTAAGGAATGTGGTCTGCTTCCTGTATTTAAGCAGAAGCCTTGGGAATGGTCTCTAGCCTATGACACACTTGGGCCCTGCATGTAGCAGTGTCATTGCTCAACAGCCTGCTATGCTCTGCTGACCTTGGGACATAAGATGAACTTAAGTTAATGGCTTGCCATATGGTTTGGTAACATCAGCACTGTGCCTTTTTATTTGTCAACCTTGGGTTTGCCAGCTTCAGAAGCCAGCAGCAGAGTGAAGAAAAGCCTCCAGCTTCAGTGGGCCAGGAGCAGGAGGCAGAGCTGGACCCCAAGGTTGAGGGGCTTTCACCCAGCCCCTAGAACCTGGCACTTTGAACCTGGACTTAAAGCCTCCAAATTGAAAGAATAAATTCCTGTTTGTTTACGCCATCCCATTTGTGGTATATTCTTGTCAAAGCAGCACTAGGTAACCAGGACAGATAATATTCAATAATTTCCACATTCTGTGGGATCACCTTTCTTTGGAATGGGTATAAATATGGATCTCTTCTAGTCAGAAGATTATTAGCTGGTATAATTTAGCTAATGGAAGAAATACAAACTTTTTAAAATATGTTTTATTCTTCATTGTTTTATGAGTGTAAAAGGAATAATATTTTTCTTTGATAAGAATTAACCACATGAGAAAATGTTAGTCTCTGAGCAAGAGATATGCAGAAGCAATAAGCAATGCAAATGCTACCATGAAGTGGCTCCCAAGAGATATGAGGTAGAAAAAAAAAATCACAGTTTTTCTCCCTCCATCCATTTTAGTGACCAAATAAAGTAAATATTTGGAAGAAAATAAATCCTTCTTATCAACACTGAGAATGGAGAATGATGAAAACCAAAAACCATTGACTTCACGGAACTATTCCCAGTAGATGGGGCAGCGGAGAAACCAAAATCACAAAGTTCTTTTCTAAGAAAGCAGTAATGTATTGCAAAGGGATTGAATCTCATGAACTTCCTGAATTTGAAAGATGTCTAGTAGTTCAGTGGTTAAGCACTAACTGAAAGGTCAGTGGTCCAAACCCACCAACTGCTCAATGGGAGAAAGATGTGGCCCCTTCTTCCTTAAAATTTTACAAACTTAGAGATCCTCTGGGGCACTTCTACTCTGTCCTATAATGTCACTATGAGTTGGTATTGACTTGAAAGCAATATTTTTCTTTTTGGTTTAGACTAGACACTCTAGTTGTAACAGTAGCAGGACCCAGTGGAGAAACATTCAAATGGAAGTGCCAGGAGTCAGGGGAGTTTTCGCTGATCTTCTTTCTTTACAGTAATTTTCACTATTTCAGAGTTGCAGGAGAGCACTTTGAATTAGATGGGGGCTGCTGATCTATAGGACGCAAGGATGGGCCACTGGAGTTAGAGGACCCAATACTACTACATGGCAGGAAACATGTTAGCTGCCTCCACAGACCAACAGCACTCAGTAGGTCTGATCTGGAAATTATGTAGATTACTATGTGAAAGTGATAGGGCTTACTCTCATGGACTTATTAGTGTGGCCAATTCACCCTAACCTTGGTAAGTACAACACCTTAATAAGAAGTGCAAGACATAAGCAAGAAATTATTCAACTACCCTGAGGGTCATGAAAAAAGTGGTGAGATACACATTCTTATCATGTTCAATATAGGAATAGGAAATACTAGAATTAACCTGAAGTCACATAATACAGGATTATTTTTTAATTAGTTATGGAATAATATGCAATTTTCCTTAAACATTAAAATAATAATTTAAATATATATTAAATCTATAATGGCTGTTTAAAATATTTTAAATGAACATGAATAGACACTTCACCAAGTAGGATATTCAGGTGGCCAACAAACATATGAAGAAATTTTCAGGATCATTAGCCATTCAAACTCAAACTCACTGCTGTTGTGTTAATTGTGTCATAGCGACCCCTCTTCATTTTTGAGGTGGTATCTCTATGGAAGTAGATTGCCCAGTCTTCCTTCCAAAGAGTGGCTGGTGGGGTTGAACTGCCAGCCTTCTGATTAGCAGTCAAGTGCCCTAGGCACTACGCTACCAGAGCTCCTGCATTAACTATTGTTGTTGTTGTTATGTGCCATTGAGTTGGACCCGACTCATAGTGACCCCTCCTTGGGTTTCCGAGGGAGTATACAAATCAAAACAACAATGAGATACCATCTTGCCCCAGCCCTAATAACAAAGTTCAACAAGACAGAAAATAACAAATGCTGGCAAGGATGTGGAGAGATTGGAACTCTCATACACTGCTAGAGGAACTGTAAAATGATACAACCACTGTGGAAAGCAGTATAGTGATTCCTTAAAAAGTTGGAATTAAAAATACCATTTGATCCAGCAATCTCATTATTAGGTATATATCTTAAAGAGAGTGAGAGCCAGGACAAAAATAGATATTTGCACACCCATATTCATCACAGCATTATTTACAATAGCAAAAAGATGGAAACAACCTAGATGCCTTCAACAGAAGAATGGATAAGCAAACTATGGTACATACACACAATGGAATACTATGCAACACTAAAGAATATTGTAGAATCTACAAATTACCATGTAAAATGGATGAACTTGGAGGACATTATGGTGAGTGAAATAAGTCAATCACAGAAGGACAGATATTGCATTAGTTCATTATTGTAAAAAGTCAAGGAAAGGTTTATATATGGAAGGGAAGTTTCTTTGTTGGTTACCAGGAGTGGGAGGGAGAGGTGGGAACACTATAAAAATAAAAATAAATAAATAAATAAAAATAACATAGAAGAATATGTCTAATGTGATTCCATTTGGGATAAAATTATATTTTTTATATTTGCATAACAAAGTATAATATCTGAAAGAATGTATTTTAAAATGCGGCATTTTCTAGCAATATTTTAGCACATAAAATTTAATAATATTTGCCCATGCAAAATATTTTGCCCATGAGTATATTTACTCAATTTTCTATAATATAATAAAAATGAAAGAGAAAGAAGACAATAGTGCTCTAGTTGGCTTTGCATTTATTCATCCTATTCTACAACAAACTATCTTTTTCATTGTGCATTGGTAAGAAAAAACAAAAACACAAAAATAATAATAAATAAACAAACAAAATGTCTAGTTATCCCCTTATGGAATAAGGATGAAAAGGCGCCCACTGAGTCATAAGGTTTTTTCTACATGCTCAGAGAGGACCATAATAAGAGATTGATTAAAAAAAAAAAAATTAGGTAGGATTTCAAAATAAACACTTGATAAATAAATGAGTGATTTAATTCCAATAGATTGTATATAGTAGGAGATAAGATGAGAAGTCATTTCAGGGTTGTCACGAACTCTGTAATTATGTTGACAGAGGAATAAAAATTAGGAACAGGAATGGTACTTTGATTAAGGAATTGCTGGATAGTGTTAGTGGAAGCATCACACAAGACTGAGGATGACT